AGGTTTTCCTCACACATGTTATTCTCGTAATTCAGCGGATATTATTCATATTTATATCTTAGTCGCATGCTTAAGGGTGTTCGACAGGTAGGACTCGGGCACTCGTCACGGCCCATAAGTTTGGGTCGTGACAAAATTGGTATCAGAGCAGTTCTGTCCTAGGGTTGTCTACAGACCGTGTCTAGTAGAGTCTTGTTTATGGGTGTGTTGTGCACCACACTTATAGACAAGAGGCTACAGGATATATAGGATGTTATCCTCTCTTTTCATCTTAGATCGTGCGATATAAGAATTCATGATCCTAACGATATGTTATATTTTCAGCGATGCGTCCAAAGATTACAGCCTCCAAGAAGGGAAAGTCCGTGGCTGGTGAGAGTACTAGTCAAGCGCCACGAGTGACCAGGGCTCGGGGGGAGTCTCATAGTGAGATTCCATCTCAGACTTCACATACCCCACCCTCTCCAAGAGAGCTTCGAGGGGCACCAGCTCCAGCGCCCGCCCCTGTATGTTCAGCCCCTCAGCCGGATGCACCGGGTCAGGAGATGAGAGATGCTATTCAGCTATTAACTTAGTAGCCGCATAGGTTCGCCTTTAAGAAGTAGGTATTGGTCATGCAGATAGGTCCATCAGTACGAGGGTTCTTGGTTTCATTAATTTAGACTCTCTGGCATTCACGGGGGCAGATCCAAACGAGGACCCTCAGGTATTTATTGATATAATGCAAAGGACGTTGAGGGTAATGAAGGCCACTGCGACTGATTCAGTTGAGCTAGCTTCCTATAGACTCCAAGATGTTGCAGTTAATTGGTACGAGTCTTGGGAATTGTCCAGAGGTGAGGATGCCCCTCCAGCAGTATGGCAGGAGTTTACAGAAGCTTTTCTTCGTCATTATCTGCCACTAGAGCTTAGACGGGCCAGAGTTGATAGGTTCTTGACCCTTCGGCAGGGTAACATGAGTGTTCAGGAATACAGTCTTCAGTTTGATTCGTTGGCTAGGTATGCTCCCACTATTGCATCTAAGATGGAGGATCGGGTTCACCGGTTAGGACTAGAGCCGCACTTGCTTAACGATTGTACGTCGGTCTCACTTCATCCAGACATGGATATTTCTCGTATTCAGGCATACGCTTAGGGTGTAGAGGAGCATAAGCAGAAGTAGAGGGCCGATCGTGAGCATGATAGGGCCAAGAATAAGAGAGCGAGGTCTTCAGGTCCTTCTGGTAATTTTCGAGGTGGTCAAAGACACAATACCCGAGGTATCCAGCCCAGCCATCGGCTAGCGCGCCCCCTCAGTTGGGCGGTAAGAGATTTGATCTTTCCATATATTCAGGGTCTGGTCAGAATTTCAAGGCCTCAGGTTCTCATTATAGGGGTGAGTCAAGTCACATGAGGCCGCCCTTGCCACAATGTGCTCACTGTGGTAAGCAGCATGCCGGGAAGTGTTGTATGGGGTTGAGTGTTTGTTATACTTATGGTTATCCGGGCCACATTATGAGGGATTGTCCGACGAAAGGTGATGCAAGCATAGCTCAGCCATCGGGATCTGTACCTGGTTCGTCATTATCAGTACTCCCCCCCTGGGTAAGGTTCACTCGCACCAATGAGTCGTGGTAGAGGCAGAGGCGGAGCATCTAGCTCGAGAGGTCCTCAGAACCGCATTTATGCGTTGGCAGGACGACATGATCAGGAATCATCGCTTGATGTTGTTACATGTATATTATCAGTCTTCTCATATGATATATATGCACTGATTGACCCAGGTTCCACCTTATCGTATGTTACTCTGTTTGTTGCTAGCAAGTTTGGAGTAAAACCTAAATTGGTTAAAACTTTTGAGGTATCTACACTTGTTGGGGACTCAGTGGTAGTTAAGCGAGTATATAAGGGTTGTATAATAGTAGTTCATAGTCGATCTACTGTAGCGGACCTAATCGAGTTAGATATGGTAGAATTTGATATTATAATGGGTCTGGATTGGTTGGCTTCTTGTCATGCCAACATTGATTGTAGATCAAAGATAGTCCGATTTCAATTTCCAAGGGAGCCCATTTTGGAGTGGAAAGGTAATACAGCGTCGCCGAAAGGTAGATTTATTTCCTGTCTTAAAGCAAGGAAGATGATCAGAAATGGCTGTATTTATCACTTAGTTCGGGTTCAGGATATGGAAGTAGAGTCACCAACCATTCAGTCCATCCCTGTGGTTAATGAGTTTCCCGATGTTTTTCCTGATGAGTTTCCGGGTCTTCTGCCAGAACGAGAAATTGAGTTTGCTATTGACCTACTACCAGATACTCATCTAATATCTATTCCTCCCTATAGAATGGCCCCTGCAGAGCTGAAAGAGTTGAAGGAACAACTAAAGGACTTGCTTGAAAAAGGCTTTATCAGGCCTAGTACATCACTATGGTAAGCACCTGTGTTATTTGTGAGTATAAAAAGATGGTTCTTTATGGATGTGTATTGATTACAGATAGTTGAATAAGGTGACGATCAAGAATAAGTACCCACGCCCGAGGATTGATGATTTATTTGATCAGTTGGAAAGTGCCAAATATTTTTCAAAGATAGACTTGAGGTCCGGGTACCATCAGGTAAAGGTTAAGAAGGAAGATTTTCCGAAGACAGCATTCAGGACCAGATACGGGCACTTTGAGTTTCTTGTTATGTCGTTCGATTTGACCAATGCCCCAGCAGTATTCATGGATTTGATGAACCGTGTGTTCAGGCCCTTTTTAGATCTGTTCGTAATTGTATTTATCGATGATATATTGGTGTATTCTCGTTCAAAGGTTGAGCATGCAGATCATTTGCGTACTGTTCTCAGAGTTCTACAAAAAGGAAAGTTGTATGCAAATTTCACTAAATGTGAATTCTGGTTGAACTCTGTAGCTTTCCTTGGGCATATCATTTTGAGTGAATATATCCTGGTTGATACAAAAAAGATTGAGGCAGTAAAGACTTGGCCTAGACCCACGACACCGACGGAGGTTCGTAGCTTTCTCGATTTGGCAGGTTATTACAGGAGATTTGTAGAGGGATTTTCTTCCCTTTCAGCGCCTTTGACAAAGTTGACTCAGAAGGGAGCAAAGTTTCAATGGACTAATGCTTAAGAACGGAGTTTCCAGGCATTAAAGGACAGATTGACTTCTGCACCGGTTCTAACGCTCCCAGAANTTTTCGAGGTGGTCAAAGACCACAATACCCAAGGTATCCAGCCCAGCCATCGGCTAGCGTGCCCCATCAGCTGGGCGATAAGAGATTTGATCGTTCAACATATTCAGGGTCTAGTCTGAATTTCAGGGCCTCAGGTTCTCATTATAGGGGTGAGTTAAGTCAGATGAGGCCGCCCTTGCCACGATGTGCTCAGTGTGGTAAGCAGCATGCCGGGAAGTGCCGTATGGGGTTAGGTGTTTGTTATACTTGTGGTTATCCGGGCCACGTTATGAGGGATTGTCCGATGAGAGGTGATGCAAGCATAGCTCAGCCAGCGAGATCTGTAGCTGGTTCGTCATTATCAGTACACCCCCCGGGCAAGGTTCACAAGCACCAATGAGTCGTGGTAGAGGCAGAGGCAGAGCATCTAGCTCGAGCGGTCCTCAGAACCGCATTTATGCGTTGGCAGGACGACAGGATCAGGAGTCATCGCCTGATGTTGTTACAACTATATTATCAGTCTTCTCATATGATATATATGCACTGATTGACCCAGGTTCCACCTTATCGTATGTTACTCCGTTCGTTGCTAGTAAGTTTGGAATAAAACCTGAATTGGTTAAAACTTTTGAGGTATCTACACCTGTTGGGGACTCAGTGGTAGCTAAGCGAGTATATGAGGGTGGTATAATAGTAGTTCATAGTCGATCTACCGTAGCGGACCTAATCGAGTTAGATATGGTAGAATTTGATATTATAATGGGTATGGATTGGTTGGCTTCTTGTCATGCCAACATTGATTGTAGATCAAAGATAGACCGATTTCAATTTCCAAGGGAGCCCGTTTTGGAGTGGAAAGGTAATACAGCGTCGCCGAGAGGTAGATTTATTTCCTGTCTCAAAGCAAGGAAGATGATCAGAAATGGCTGTATTTATCACTTAGTTCGGGTTCAGGATATGGAAGTAGAGTCACCAACCATTCAGTCCATCCCTGTGGTTAATGAGTTTCCCGATGTTTTTCCTAATGAGCTTCCGGGTCTTCCGCCAGAACGAGAAATTGAGTTTGCTATTGACCTACTACCAGATACTCATCCAATATCTATTCCTCCCTATAGAATGGCCCCCGCAGAGCTAAAAGAGTTGAAGGAACAACTAAAGGACTTGCTTGAAAAAGGCTTTATCAGGCCTAGTACATCACCGTGGGGAGCACCTGTGTTATTTGTGAGGAAGAAAGATGGTTCCATACGGATGTGTATTGATTACAGACAGTTGAATAAGGTGACGATCAAGAATAAGTACTCGCTCCCGAGGATTGATGATTTATTTGATCAGTTGCAAGGTGCCAAGTGTTTTTCAAAGATAGACTTGAGGTCCGGGTACCATCAGGTAAAGGTTAAGGAGGAAGATATTCCGAAGACAACATTCAGGACCAGACACGGGCACTTTGAGTTTCATGTTATGTCGTTCGGTTTGACCAATGTCCCAGCAGTATTCATGGATTTGATGAACCGTGTGTTCAGGCCCTTTTTAGATTTGTTCGTAATTGTATTTATCGACGATATATTGGTGTATTCTCGTTCAGAGGCTAAGCATGCAGATCATTTGTGTACTGTTCTCAGAGTTCTACAAAAAGGAAAGTTGTATGCAAAATTCACTAAATGTGAATTCTGGTTGAACTCTGTAGCTTTCCTTGGGCATATCATTTCGAGTGAAGATATCCGGGTTGATACACAAAAGATTGAGGCAGTAAAGACTTGGCCTAGACAATATGAGTAGGTTTGGACAAATAAATTTACTTGAACCATTGTTAAAACATGATTTTAATGTTATTTTATACTCCATAATAGTTATAGCATTAGCAATCTACATTTACAGTCCGATTGAAACTTGTGCTACAGAATTGTGTATCAGTTTCCGCATCAAAATCACGTATGCCCTTTTCTTAATTATTGTATATTGTTTACATTTACAAAAATATATATCGTGTAAAACTCACCAAGCTGGTAATCATGACACATTGAGATTACAGAACTGTAGGATTTCTCTCGTGAGATCTCAACTCCTTTTTTTTTTCTCAATGTACACAATGGATCCATACGAAGTTCAAAGTTACTTAGCAGAGGACTTGTTTCTCCATCAAATTATCGTCTGTAGTTGAATCGTCTGACAACTGAGTAGGTGGTTCTTCCTCCTTGTGCGCTTTAATTATATCTCTTGTTCTCAAGAAGCTAGGTTGATTGGTTGACGATAGAAGTCTCGCCCACATCCTGTCCGTTATCACAACCTTGTTTTGTGTCTCAGTGATTCTCTGCAGGTACCATGTAAAAGCAGATCATAATCAAAAATAGCAGATCACTGCATCTCATGCAGAAACCTATTAGTATAGTACTGCTGCCAATCTTGGGCATTATATACACTCAGGTCACTAAAGTGAGAAAGATAATGGCGGAGCCAGGAATTCTAATACGGAGACAAAAAAAATACAAGAATGAACCACCTTTACTGTTACACCGAAAGCTTCTCTCATGAAGGAAATTCAATAAATTCATATATGTATGTATATTTGTGTGTATGTGCAGTATAGTTTACGGATTGGTTATATAAGTAAATAAACCTTAAATCCTAGTGATGCATTTTAAAGCCGTGCAGGCATGCGCCCAAAGCGGACAATATGGGCTAGGCTGTTACATAAAATTAGCTAAGGCCCAGTTGTGTGATAAGGAGAAACTTGTAAGTAAAATGTGGAGACACCTGGAAGTAATATGAATAGCAGTTAGGTCTGGTATTTTCGTGGAAGGAAATGAACTCACATTAAAGGGTATGTAAGCATGTCTGCCATTGACAGGACCGACTGTAAAGCCAGTATAGCCAGCCATTGCTCCGTGCACAGCACTTTGAGCAAGAAGAGTGCAATACACATTGTCAGATGCATTACTTGGAATAGCCCGAATCATGTATGTGGGATCTGCACATTAGAGACAGAGAAATAGGTTGTTAGGTTCCTGCAAATCTCATCTGCTATAGATAGAAATTTGGCATTCAAACAATCAATACCGACCTATATATTTAAGATTAATGAGCATCTTCTTTTGTTTAGAGAAATGTTCCTGCAAAAAAATCCATAGTGTTTAGTACCTTAGAAATGAGTCGGTGTGCATTCTCATTCAGAGTAAAATGCATAAGAGGAACAGCAACACATGTAGCTCATTATAGCACGATTATATGCTTCAAGTTTTGGAATTACAGAAAGAAAGCACTATCCATACAACTGCATACAATGTAGTGTTCGACTATTCAATGAAATTTGGAATAGCATACAATACATAAAAAGGCAAGTACCATATGCACTTAATGAGGAAGAACATGGATTTCATTAAGTAAATCCCAACGTACCTTTATCCTTTCCGAGATCCATAGGCCAACATCTTGTAAAAGCTTATTCCCTGAAGGATCCTGCTTGCCGGTGCATCTCAAACTCTCAGAAACTAGCTCTTGGCCGGCACCTTCAGCTATGACTATAACCATGTGTCCATTTTCTTTGAGTCTGTGCTCTATGTACTCAAACAGTCCACCGCGTCCCTCAAGATAGAAAGGGGACTCTGGAATCAAGCAACAATCGACATCTCGACTGGCAAGAGTAGCATACATGGCAATGAACCCTGCACATCGAACACGTGTTCAAAAAAACGTCGACCAGACAACTCATACATCTATGTGCTATAAAATCATAATGGATCAGCTTTATCATGTACATGTATCAATCTCAGCATGAAACTCCCTTGTTGAGGGATCAAAAAGAATCAATGTATCAACGATCTGATTTTACATTTGAATACAAACCTCTACTGATGTTGGTTATCCAGAAATGAACAACTTGTTAAGATCTTAAAGAAGTTTTGAAGTACTTCAAATTTCCCTCAGAGAAGGTATAGCATGTGGATCAATCAGAAATTTAAAAAGTATAGCATGTGAATCTTACCACTATCCCGTCCCATTAACTTCACAAGGCCAATTCCGTTCTCAAAACTAGTAGCTTCAACATGAGCAGCACTAATAGCACGTTGGGCTTCCTCAACGGCAGAATCAAAACCGAAAGACTTGTCAATAACCTGGGAGAGAATCAGAAAAGATCACCAAAAATAATTTTGTTACCCACTGAAAAATTGGGTACTTGTTGAATCACAAGTACCCCATGCCAGGTAATCTACATGACGAAGTAGTTACCGGTATATCATTATCAATTGTCTTAGGGATTCCAGCAACTGAAACATTGAGACCACGCCGTCTGATTTCCTGTAGGAGAAAGGCAGAATAAACCTGAGTAAACACACTTTCATTGTTTTCTCCATCAACAAACTAAATATTAATAGAATGAATTGATCTAAAAGATGCTCTTCTGAAGCGTGTTTTGTGGAATGGTTATGGGTAATGGCTAAGAAGGTCTACCTCAAATATCACCGCTGCTCCTCTCTGTGTTCCATCTCCTCCAATTATATAAACCTTGAAATCAAAAGGCAACACAAATATTTCAACAGGATGCACAGGTTAGATGTAAAGAAAATGTCCTGAGACCTGAGTTGGTTCTCGAATGAAATATCCTGAGTTACTTCTCAAATAATTACTTTTATATTTTTACCTGATTGATATCCCGGTCCTGAATGCTATCTACTATTTTCTTGGTAACATGACCTCCTCGAGATGTCCCAAGTATGGTTCCACCACGTTTATGAATATCATTCACAACCTTTGGTGTCAAGGGAATTATGTTTTTGGAATAGAAACCTCGATATCCTCCCTACAACATTCACAAATTTCATTAGTTGTGATGCAGACATGCATAAAGCAAATTTTTCGAAACCAAAGATAGAATGTACTGTTAACAGTAGTAAAGGAGCAAGATATAAAAAAGTTGGAATGAACATCTATGTTCAACTTCAACCTTATTCCGTGTTTTCCTAGAGATCCATAAATTATGCTTTACACTTCTCTAAAATTGCTGCTATGTGAGAACACTCTCAATCTAATTGCAGCAATCCTCCTGAAGATGAGTCTGCTACTGGTTCTACAACTACGTACCAAGCATTTCAATGAGAAGAGTTCGATAAAAGGGAAACCAAGTATGTGATCATTGTCATAAGTAAAGTTGCTTTATTTGTCAAAAGGATATATGGACTTTACTATACAACTGTGTGTCATGAAATAAAATGCATACTCACATCTATCCCCATGACCCTCTTTACGCCATACATATAATATAGGCCGCATACTATTTCTCTGATAACTGTGTTGAGACCAGGACATAAGCCTCCACATGTCACTATACACGCATGAACATCTTCTGGATCAAAATAAACCTGAAAAATCATCAGGAAAGTTCATATTTGTTTGATAAAACAAGAGGATCAGGAAATTTCATATGTTGTAGTTACAGCAGATACAGACTTACTTTTTGACGAGGACCAGCTCGACGAAAATGTATTCCCCTCGGGCTGTTCTTGTGCACAACAATCTGTAGGTTTATTGGGAAACATGTAAGCAGGACGAAACCTTGTCCAACCAGGATTTACAAGGAACTTACATCCTCCTACCTCAAAATTCATAAATTTTAAGTTTGTTTTGGCAGATCTTAGACGATATCTCTGTTTATGTTCTTACTATGTCATGGACTTACGGATGAGGCACCAAATTCTGCCCAATGATAGGCATTTCAATTAAGACAAACTCACATGAGTTTTGCCTCCACACAACAGTTACTATTGCACAAGAACCTAGGCATATTGCTTTCAAGGCATACTATTCGTAATATTCAATGACCAAGGCAACATATTTGCACTAGCACTATCAAGTGCTTCTCCAAATGAATAGAAGGTAAACACCAAATAAGTTTCATTTCAACATGACTGACCTTTTGAGCAACCGTATCATCCTCATCGACAAAATACTGCCTGAAAAAATGTTAAATTTGGTTGATCAGCTTATTCCTCTTGCACTTTATAAATAAGCAATAAGAACAGAAGGTGAATATCCGACGACTTACTTAACGACTGAATATGATGGATTATCTTGCACTGGATTAGGATATGTCTGCAATAATAGGACAGTTATTTAGTACTTGATCAAAATAGAAACTCTTTAACCTTCGTTAACAAAAAAGAAAAAAGAGAAAAACTTTATTGCTTTTTGCACTACAAACACCATATAGAGCATAATTGATAGTATATTACTTTTTCACAGGAAGAAAACTAGCAGAAGGTATCCACTAGTTTCTTCCTCAATTACTCGTCATCCCAGAAATAAAACAGCAAGGCTAATAATCATCCTCTTCCTATTGCATAGTAATATGTCAAAATAACAACTTCAACTCTTATCCCAGACAAACGAAAAAGATAAATTTGTACAGAAAGAAGAAATGACTACAAAGGAAATGGTATTGAACTTTCTAGCTTAAAATAATCAAAAAATTAGATCATTTGCCACGTCAAATTATTAAAAATGTAAAAAAGAGCCAACATATTTTTAACCTTTCTACCAACAGCTTCTTTAAATATAAATAAATAAATGTACAAAAAGCATCAACCTGATCATACACAAATCTAGTTCAATCATATTGCAAATTAAGCACCGGTTTTCTTCAATACTGAATATGGCCAATCAAATGGAAGATGGTACCGTGATCAAGCAACAAATTACATAGCCCAACTTAATTGTATATCAATTAACTGAATCTAGATAAGGATTCACAAAGTTGTTCTCAGTTGTTATCCACTTATCCATTTTGGAAAAAAAGAAAAAGCAACAAGTCCAGTATACATGATCAAGAATCAGAACAGCTTAGTTTCTAATTACTCAAAACATTATATATATGCAACATATATAGAAAAAGATTTGAGGGAAAGAGAGAGGATTACAGGAAGATTAGGAATGTAATCAGACAAATGAGGAACATCCTCTAGAACATAACCACCATCACCAGTCACAATCTTCTGCTTCTGCTGCTGAGAATTAGGCGCTTCTCCCATTGAACTTATATCCAATCCAATCTTCTTGGACCCCAGTACTGTTACAGCTACAAAATTTTGATCCACTGATCCCATTTAATATTTCAATTCAAGTCAACGATTTATCTCAAATGAATTAGCACCCTTGTCCCTTAGCATGTAAACAACTCTTCTCTATATATAAAAAACAGTTTATGAATAGAGGGCGCACAATGATATTACCAAGGAAGCTAAAACCAGTAGACCACTGCTCAAGTTAGTCTGAAAATAGCAGCCTCTGAACTTTCAACTACACATATAGTCAACATATAAATACAAATATTTGAAGTCCTTTTTAATATAAAATAAAAAGGCATAGGTGGCAACTGTTTATTGAATTTTCTCGTGGGTATTGCCTTTTTGGACAGAAGTTCATGAAAAGTTAGAAAATTAGAACAGAAGATGGGATGAAAGAGGCAAAAATGAGAGGACTGAAATTGTATTTGAAAACTTATGACATTAATTGTTTTTGTTGAGTCTTCTGGAAATTAGAAGATTCTTTGCTCTTATTCTAGATTCTGTAATATGTGGACTTTTGTTAATGAAAAAAAATAAATTGGGTGTGAGGTCAATAATGGCCTCATACTTTGAATAAATTACTAGCTTGACGTTAACCGTAGACGCACACCCTCTTATCTTCTTGGTCAGCAATCCACTGCACCTTGTTATTTTGACCTTTTTATTTATGCCAATAATACAGTTTAAAATGACATTAATTTTCATCTCTTATATAATACGTATGGATTAATCGTATTTTCACTCCTGATAGGTCAATCTATTAATCATTGAGAATAAAATTATCTTACAATACTTAAAAATGATTGTCAATTTTACGCTATATCAATAAGCTTAAAGAAAAAAACTAGAAAATACTTACATTTACCTCGTTAAGTTAGTATAGCATGTTTTTGATACATGGTACTTCTAGACAATCATGCTTAGTAAATTAATCAACTTTTTCGACCAATGTCATAATCATGCCACAAATTGATTAATTGACCTTTATTTTGAAAATTAGAATGTCATGGTCATGCCACAAAGAATTTTAAAATTCTTTATAATGATTTATAATTAGAGAAACACTCCATAACTATGACCTCACTACATCTTTAAAAATCCATATTTGACACTTCTAATTAAAAAAATCTTCGAAATCTCTATTGCATTATTTTCAACTTTCAATTCCCCATTTCTTCTTCTCTCTCTTGTCCTCAAAAGAATGCCAAAGTTTCACTTTGACTTTGTTCCTGGTTTTTGCAATGTCTTTCCTTTTCTTGAGAATGAAATGATCTCCGGTATACAAAATATCTTTTGTGACCAATTACAAATTGAATAAACGAAAACAATTGTAAAAAGACCTCATATATTTTATTAACTGATCTCTTATTTTGTTTTTATCGATCTCAAATGAAAATTGTTATATAATTAAAGTATACATGTAATGAGCCATAAAACTAATTTTCACGTTTTATTTACTGATCACATGTGTTATCTTTACCAGACTACTGGGACAATAATCATATAACTAAAATAAAAGATATTTATAAATGGATCATAAAATCGATCTCATTTTTGAGTCTGAAAACAATGCCCTTAAACCCACGATGGAGCAGCTAGTGGTCTCAATTTGAACCGCCAAGAAGTTTTCAACTAACAGGAAAATTGTTGGCTATGTGTGCAGTTAGTGGAAAAATTGTGGGCGAAATCTTTTTAAAACAGTTTAATTAGTTTGGTGAAAAAAAGAGTGCATTTGAGTGTTAGAGATATCATAGTTAATGGAGTTTGTAGCTTATGTATTGCAGTTAAAGATTTGGTATTTTACCCCCTTAAATTGGATAACAATTAAATTTGTACGTAATTTTTAGGATATGTGGATTGATTCAACACAAATAATTAAGAATGTTAGATAAATGAGTTAAAAATAAAATGAATAACCAAACCAATCGTGATGTTACGGCTGAGCTCGGATTTAAGTTGAACAATAGCTTTGCCCTTGATCAGATCCTTAATTCATAGCCAATTGTGTATGAAGAACAACAATAAAGTAAGAACTTTGCGGTAGCTAGAAAGCAGAAAATTGGATTTGAATTGCCTTGGTTTGCGTGTTACAATGTGTGTCATCAAAGAAAAAACTTCTCCTTTATATAGCAGGAGAGTTTCACCCCTAGTACAAGTCTAAAAAAGGTAAAAATCATCCTCTCTCGTTAATTACTTATCTGTAACCGCCATCGAGCGAGATCCGCACTGTGGTATCCGGTTGGTTCCGGATATCACAGCCCTCTATCTATCGCCTACAACCGTTCATGCGCTTCCCGAAGTCCCAGCTTAGATTTCGATCCCATGTATTCATACCCTTGCTTCGTTTGACCCACCGGGGAATCGGGGTGTGTGTTAGACTCGATTTTACCCGTATACAGAAAGCCCCCTTGTTTCCCAGAGAGTAGGTTTGCCGAAATGATGGGAAACGATAGATGAACCCTGGTTCCTTCCTTCGTACGTTACAACATAGATGACGCATAAGCCGAAACGTCCCATCAGTCGCGTATTCTGACTTCGGACACGTGTCGATCATCGGCTGGTTGCCTTCGAATGTGAAATGTCGCATATTGATTACATTTCCCCTATAACCTTTTATACGTCTTTCACTTTCCGATCCTAGTTTTTACCTTCGAATTTTCTAGCGGCTTTTAACTTTTTCAAATCTTCATATCTTCATCTCTGATATTCAAATCTTCATATTTGTTCTTATATTTCTAACCCAGATCTTCTTCCCACCTTCAAACCTTCATAATCTTTTCTTCAAACCTTCATACTTTTCCTTCAAATCTTCATATCTTCCCAGACCACGATGGCTAAAACTTCCGAATCAATTCCTCAGCAGGCTGCCCCTCATCTTCCCACCCGTTTGCAGATGCCGAAGTGGTTGCTCCCGAAGTGGCCCTAGAGCCCCCCATGAAAAGCTTTATACCCGGAGGCTGTTCCATCGGGGATGACTTCAAAGTCGAGAAGGACTCTAGCCAATAAGACCGGGGTGAGGGAGCATCGAGATACATATGCTCTGTCATCGAATAAACCTTACCTGTAGTCCGAGCGGATGGTAAGTGGGAGGGTAAAGACATGGTTGTCCCTGGGCCCGACGACGATATAACTACTCACGTGAAGGGGTATCTGAGTGTTTACATTTACCCCTTTATGCTCGCCCATGTGGATCCCGTAGTTCTTGCTTTCTTCAAGAGATACAAGGTGTGTCTCGGGCAAATCCACTCATCCTTCTGGAGGATCGTGATCCTCTTGCGCTACTTCATGAACAACATTGAGTCTCACCGGTTCACCCTCGACCACCTACTCCGTTTATACAGTCCCCGAATATTCTGAGGGGGACTGATCAAGCTCACTCGCCGAGCAAGCAAGACTCCTTTCTCGAGCATTGACGGGGACCGAGACCGAGGTTGGCAGGGGCGGTTCGTTCGGGTGAAGACCGAAGACCTGATTCCCCCCGAGCTTCTGCCGTTCCCTAAGGAGTGGAACGCATCCCGTAACTACTGTCTTTCTTGGGTATTCCTCCCCTTTTATTTTTTTTTCTCATCGCTTGTGTTTGTGGTCATGCATCCGTTTCCCGAGTTCCAGATGCAGTCCCTCTATTCAAGGAGTGGATCGAGGGGATTTGTAAGATGATGCCTTACTCCGAACGCGCATGGCGCAAGCTCTCAAAGGGCAGATGGGAGGCCCATTCTCATGGTGAGGTTCTAACCCAAAATTGTTATCATCACGCTTTTAACTTAGTGTTAACTTCTTCCTTTTCCTTCCAGGTCTACCTAAGACCACTGAGCTTAGGCCGCTCGATGAGGACAAAGATCCATCTTTTCCTGCTGAGCCCTCCATCTTGGGACAGCCCGGGGCTGCCGCGAAGGAGGAGAAGAAGAAAAAGAGAAAGTCCTCGGGTTTCCCAGACATCGAGGGAAAGGGGAAGAAAAGGGCGGCCACCAGGGCCCGGAAACCCAAGAAGAATGCCAAGTCCAGGTCACAGGACCCTAGCTATCTCTACCGGCTCAAGGATGAGCCCGAAGAAGATGACATCTTCGTTGCCCACAAATCGACCTCCACCGGGGAGCAGGCGACGACCGATAAAAGGGACCACGAGGTCGATCCCCTTCAGGCTCGGGAACTTGAGGGGGAGATAGAGGTTGTGACCTCCCAGGAAGCCGCTCCCATTCCTAAGGAGGCTACCGGTGTCAGAAATCATAGAAACACCCTCCTATACCGAGTCCATGCTCGGGGAGGCCCAAGCGGGCAAAGAAAAATCAAGTGAGGGAGTGCAGGGTTCGGATGACCCCCTCAACTCCTTTTTCGATAGTATGGACATGTCTATATTGGAGGACTTTTTCGGGCTGGGCGACCTGGAGATCCCGAAGAAGGATGTGCCCTCGGCAGCTGGCGGGCCGAGTTCGAGCCTAAAATTGGTGAAGCAGTTTCCTGCACCGAGCGTGGACCCCGTCCGCAAGAGAACAGTCATTCTTACGGTCCCGGAGGAAGACAGGGTCCTATCAGCTCCAGTGGGCATAGCCAGCTACCTCCGATGCCTGGTGACCGAGTAGGACCAGGCAAAGATGAACGAGGTGGGCGTGTCAAGTCTTTTCAATGAGGCACAGCAGGCACTGAACCGGGTAAGGCATCAACACTTTTACGCCCCCTGTGAATTATGCTTAAGCTTTGATGTCTCTTACTGTTTTCGTCATTTTACAAGCCTTAGTGCTTCACCATAGAGCTTCCTCCGGTACCGCTTGGAAATTAGTCAGCTCGAGTTCGAGCTCAACGAGCAGGTCCGGAAGAAGGACATGTACATGCTTCTTAATGAGCAACAGGATGGGGCCTTCAAAGACCTCCGGGCCGAGTTGGACAAGGCTCAGAAGGAAGCTTCGACTCTGAAGCGTGAACATGCCGATCGGGTTGAAAAGGTAAAGGTATTTGAAGCTAAAAATGAGGAGCTAGTCGTGGTGACTAACAACACAACCTTGCAGGTCCAACAAAAGATCGACCAGCTCCGATCCTAGATGAACGAGGTCAAGGTCGTGGCCGAAGAGTGGAACGGCAGATGGGACCTACTAGCTTCGAAGAAGGAAACCGTGAAGGAAGAGCTGGCATCGGTTGAGAACCAACTCGGGGTGGCGAAGGACAAAGCTGACAAATAGTCTTAGCTGAATAATGATCTCCGAGCACAACTGAGCTCGACCATCACAGAGCGGGATTCCCTTGGTAGAGAGTATGAGGCAGTGAAGTCCAAATTGGACACAATCTCCGCTAATGCCAAAGAAATGGTAGCCCAATACAAGGCCGATGTGGAGGCAGTCGTGACCCGCCTAAAGACAAAGGCTGAATATGTGAGGCGGTTGTCCCGAAGAGAGACCCTCGAAGAGATCCACGCCCGAGGCTTCAACCTGTCGGTCGAGATTAAGGAAGTAAAAAAG